TTTTTTTTCTATCAACTAATCAAAGTAGGACGATAAATCCGACAAATCGAAATTCCACAGGCACCGGAAGGCGAGTCCCAGCCAAGTACGGAGGTGGACCTGTTCATCTCGACGGAAAAGATAATGGTCCTGAACACGGATCTCAAGGAAATCATGATGGACCACGCGCTGCGTACGATATCGTACATCGCGGACATTGGCGAGCTGGTGGTGCTGATGGCCCGGAGGCGCTTCGTGCCCCACGAAATGGACGAGGCGCCCAAGAACCGCACGCCCAAGATGATCTGCCACGTGTTCGAGAGCGAGGAGGCCCAGTTCATAGCCCAGAGCATCGGCCAGGCCTTCCAGGTCGCCTACATGGAGTTCCTCAAGGCGAACGGCATCGAGGACCACAGCTTCGTCAAGGAGATGGATTACCAGGAGGTACTCAACTCCCAGGAGATATTTGGCGACGAGTTGCAGATGTTCGCGAAAAAGGAGATGCAGAAGGAGGTGGTCGTGCCCAAGGCCAAGGGGGAGATACTCGGGGTAGTGATAGTCGAGTCGGGCTGGGGTTCGATGCTGCCGACAGTCGTCATAGCCAATTTGGCGCCGGCCGGCGCGGCGGCCCGGTGCGGACAGCTCAACATTGGCGACCAGATAATCGCCATAAACGGCGTCTCGCTGGTTGGGCTGCCGCTGTCGACCTGCCAGACCTACATAAAAAACTCCAAGAACCAAACTGTCGTCAAGCTCACGGTCGTGCCCTGCGCCCCTGTCGTCGAGGTAAAGATCAAACGGCCCGACACCAAGTACCAGCTTGGCTTTAGCGTGCAGAACGGGGTCATTTGTAGCCTGTTGCGCGGTGGTATTGCCGAGCGAGGTGGTGTGCGCGTTGGTCACCGCATCATCGAGATCAATAACCAGAGCGTCGTTGCCGTGCCCCACGAGAAGATCGTCAACCTGTTGGCTACCTCCGTCGGCGAGGTTCGTTATATCATCGTTGCGCTATTGTAGCCATACGTACAACGGAACTGTATGGTTCATTTCTGGATTGTTGTTGTTTTTTTTTTTTTTTTTTTTTGCAGATCCTTATGAAGACGATGCCCACGTCGATGTTTAGGCTGCTGACGGGCCAGGAGTCACCGGTGTACATATAAACCTGCGTTGAACAGACAATGCACACGTCGTCCTCGCTATACCTTGAGCCCCAAATTCTCCAGCTTTTCGGAGCCCTCCGCTGCTAATACGTGCGATTTCTTCTATATATACCATTACTGCTACTCCTACTACTAACTCCCAGAGCCGATAAGTCAGCCGACAAACAGCTGTACTCTTCAGCTACACTATTTATGCATATATATATATATTATCATTGTCATTAATAATATTCTTTCATCGCGCGCGTGTGTGTGAAGCTCCGAGGTGCTGGGATATAACGTATATACTTGTATGATGTTTTTACGTCGTTGTCGTCGTACTCGGATTTTTGGTCAATTTTTTTTTTTCTACTTTTTTTCCTACTCTCTAAACAGATTAGCACCATACCTACTGAGAAATTCTTTTGTAAGTTTAGAAGTGGGTTATTTTCGATTGGCTCGGGGTAATGGGTAATTTTTCCTTTTGAGCACAACAAATATTGAATATTTATATAATATTACACGGACTGGTGAGATGGCGGTTGAATGAATGAATGAAAAAAAACAAAAAAAAAAAAAAAAGCCGAAAGATTATATCACACTGCGAAAGTATCCCATCGCAGGTGACGCACGCACATTGAAGAATGTTCGTCGATTAGGTGCACGGGACGTGGAGTCGTACAGGAGAAAATGACAAAAGTTGCACACAGGATTATAAATAGCACAAAAGCTTTTCAAGTATATTGTCTAAGACGAGGCTGAAAAACTGTACATTACTATTATATGATCTTATAATTAAAATATAGGAAAAATGACGTGCAGGTTGAGGGGGGGGGGGAGATACAGCAATCAGCAATGCGTTGTGACTGTCAAGGAAATGAGCAAAAAAATGTTGCTTTAGAATTTTTCGCACCATAGGTAATACATATAAATTTATATTTAATATATTAATCTCTCGACGTTGTTCTTCATCGTTTTGAATATGCCTTTCATTCAAGAAAAAGTGTGTTTTCCAAAACGAATGTCGAGAAGTCATAGTAATAAAAATAATAATAATTATTATTATTATAATAAAACGATACATCAATACGAGGAAGAAAAAAAAGAAAAATTTGTACCGATTGAATTTTGCTTGGCTCACGCTACCGCGTTCCTCTTATTCATTTGTATTATTGACTTTACAATACACATATACATACTTGTGAATTGCGTACACATATGTACACATATGATATATAAATATACTAACACGTTTGAGCATTTGATGCAATTAATATACGTTGAAATCCGAGTGTACAGTATTTGAAAGTCTACAGTGAAAATTGACGAGATGTTCATTAACATAATCGTTTTTTTCTCTCCTTTTTTTATAGCAGTTAAAGTTTGCAAATTCGCTTAGTACAGTATTTATTATCGAATACAGGATTTGTACTGGTGATAAATTTTACACTCGTTTAAAACAAAATCGTAACGTGAGTTATAAAAATGAAATATTTTTACACATCAATTATACAAGGAATGTACATGTCGTCTGTTTTCATTGCATACCCGGCTTTCGAAGTGTAAATTGTTAAAAGGGCTTATTAAAGTTTTGTAGAGAGAGGGAAAATTTTTTTCTTAACTTGACAACATTTAGGAGAATTACAGTACCTACGGTGAGCCATTGATACTCAGTGGTTTCTCCAAACTTTTTCGTATGCATTATTTTAATGATATTTCAACGCGTTCTATTTATTAATTATCCAAATTTTTATTTAACCCTCGCTTTGATTAAAAAAAAAAAAAATTCAAAAGACACTATTAAATAAGGAAAAAAGGAAAACAAGTATTAATAAACAAAAAAAGATAAAACGAGTGAGAGAGTAACAATAAGTGAGAAAAAAAAAAAAAAAGTCAAGCATGAGAGTGTGAATGACGGCAGGAGCTCGTAGGTCACGAAACATAATACATCGATGCCAAGGTTCATTCTCACCGATGACAGTCACTAATAATTTATTAAAAGCATAATAATTCGTAATAGCGAATAGATATTTAGTTTAAAAGACAGCGGATGGTCCATGAACTTTGGCATGGACAGGATTGTCATTCGTGATTCGCGCATTTAGTTGTAAATGTAAAACAGTGTGTGTTTAGTGGGATCAATCGAGATCTGGACATATAGTTAAGGAAAAAAATGATTTGACGTTAAAGATGAAGAAACGGGAAAAAAAGTCTTATCTAGTCATTAATCGCTAAGATTTAAACAAATAGGGGTTATTATTATTAATAATATGAATGAATGAAAGCTTGAAATTCAAAAGACGTGCAATGCAGAATTCTCGTGATGGCCATATTATATTAGCAAAAGTTATATTATACCTCCACGCGACTGATTTTTATCTCACAAAAAACAAAACGTATTGTTTTTTTACAAAGAAAATTCGTACACCGGGTATTTTACTTGATTTGGTAAAGTATATTTTTAATTAATTTTATCATGTTACACAGTCGACGCATCAATAAATTTTATTTAACTAACTAGTCATGGACGCTGATTGAATTAATGCAAATTTTGATACGTTATACAATAAAAAAAATATATATATATATATCTACACGAATACATTAAGTTATTATACGATTTGCATTTTTACGAGTATAAACAATGATAATTAATAGTTGTTATATAGGAAGTTGATACGAAAGTTCCCCAAATGTTTTGTTCATTGATAGTGTCTTACGAAAAATTAGCTTGTATAATATCTCTCAGTCGCCTTAATCGAAAGCAAAGATTAAAAGACTATCTTGAACGCGAAGGAGGTGCATTTTTAATCGGAGCATAATAAATTTCGGTATGGCTCTCCCTTGTGTTGTATAAATATATAATATCTGCATGAAAAAATGTCGTACTAACTGGAGCAAAAAAGAAAAAAGAAGAAAAAAAAAAAAAAAAAAAAGAATGAGGTACCAAGAGCCAATGAATAAAACTGTGTTAAATCTTGCATAATGTGAAAAAAAAAAAAATAAATAAAATGAAATCGTCTCACAAGAGTTACAGCTTGCATTTAAGCCAGCGTATATTTTATTCTGACTCGGCTGTAATTGACAATGGTTTTAATTGAGAGAAAAAAAATACAATTTTACGAATGCTCGGTAATCGAAAAAATTATAATTTCCCGTAATTTTCAGTATCAAGCGTGTTGAGCATCTAAAAAATTGAATAGTTTTTCACTCTGCATTTTTACCAAAAAAATATTGTACTATAAATATATCATTATGCGTTTAGTTACTTGTGTAGGTAATAATTCTTCGATGAATTCTCCAAAGAGCTATTTTGGTCTCTCGCTGCAGAACAACCTATCAAATGACAAATTGTATGCTTACAAATTCAGGATAATTTGTGTAATTAATACAGTGTTGGTCGAGTAATTGATTTTTTCGATATACAAATAAATAAATAAATGATGTATGATTAATGCTACATGAAGAATTATATTTATTTCCTGGGATATTGTTAAACGCATTAAAGTGACGTATGCATGATAAAAACAATAATAACAGTTATGACAGGAAATACATAGCTACAACAGAGCCTAGATATAAAAGTTGCTTTTTGTTTATGAAGGCTGTGGCACTTGTTAATTTTTTACTACAAGTCCGCTTGAAAAGTGGTATTTTTAAAACGTAATTTTGAACATTAGATCTGGAAAAAAAGGAACTTGTCTTTATTATTTATTATCATTATTTAATTGTTGAAATAAAGGAAAAACAAATGAAACTATTAAAAAACACTAACGGGAATAAAAAGCTACGTTTGAAGCTTTTTGACTGCAAAGAAACACAGTTATTGCGAACAAATAAAATTTTAAAAAATTGAGACTGCGTAAAGTGAATCGTTTAATATAGCGCTTTTTTGAGTCATTTTAAATGAATAGAAAAAAAAAAAAAAAAAAAAAAAGAAAGAAAAAGAGAAAAAAAAACAATTAAAGATAAGACGTAAACATATTGAGACACAAAAATAGAGTTAAAAAATTGCCGAACAAAAAAAAAAGATGCCAGTACGTAATGTTGAATACGTTAAGTATAAGCTTTTCGAGCTTTTTGCATCGATTTCATTAAATTTTAAAACGAGCTCAAGTACACGCGGCACGTTATACTTTTATTTTAATTAAGAATGTTCATACACATAACAGCGTACAAAAAATAATTTCTTTCGACAGACTATGTATAATTACTGTGTAGTATGATTTAAAACAATTATTAAAAAGAAAAAAAAACCAAAAAGCAAATGATGCAAAAGTTTTCCATCAATTTGGACGCCCACTCTTATAAAATAACATTGGGCATATACATATTAAATGTGTTGTATGTGTGTACACATGTACACTTGTATGCAAAAACGTATCGATGGTATTGATATACTTGATACACACATGCAGATAAAAAAAATAGAGCTTGTGTTGGTAGCTTTGAACTGTCATGACATATATACATAAACAGAAGCCCCAGCAGGCTGCGAGAACGAAATATCATGACTATCCTTATCAATGTTTGTGAATGTATTATAAGTTATGGTTAAATAAGTAAGCGAGCTATTGAATGTGTATATGGTAATACTAGTCCACACAAAGACAACAATAAACTGTAATTTTGAACTTAAGTATAATTTTTTTTTTTTTTTTCAACCTGTTTTTTTTTAAATACTGGTGTTTCTCATTTACACGAGTGACATTTAAAGGACCATTATTGATTTTTACCGTAAGTATTATTTGTTATACTATCCTCTTTTTCATTAAAACAAAAAAGGAATAAGGATATTGAAAAGTAAAAATGATATATTTGTAATGTTTCATGAGATTTTTTTATTTTACTTTATAAAAGTACTCACTCCTCAAACAATCATCTTCCTCACTTAATTAATTCGTTATATAATAAACGAGCAATCTTAGTCTTATCTACAAAAAAAGAAATACCTTACTGCTTTACTCAAAATTAAAACTAGGATATCAGTTCATCCTCTTTTCAACTTATTTCTATATTTAAGATATTGGTTTTTTTTAATGGACGACTGGCAGAAAAATTCCTACTGAGATAGTATTAATATCGTTTGCCGAGAAAACAATCATAAATCAAATTATCATAAATACAAGGAATCGATTAAAATTTAATCTGAAAATATTTTATTGCAGATTTAGAAGTTTTACCACCAAGTAATAATGCAAAAAGTAATCTGCCAGTTATACGCAGCATAAGAACATTTCAAGTTCTTATGTTTTTCGTTTACGTTATTTTGTGTCTTTCTTCAGCAAGTTTTTGGAAAAGCATTCTTTATATTTATTTTTATCATAGTTCAATCATCACTAGAACATATTATTTAGGGATAACTTGAATGCAATAGTGACAAATTTTTTAACAGTTTATATTTCAAAGTTGGATATGTGTTGAACAATAAAGTGAGAATTATAATAGCAATAATTCTAAAATAGAAGTAAAAAAAGGCGACAATAATACTCAACAAATGCTAGGTGTGAATGCATAACTTTATGTACTTGTATCAAAGTTGTTTGCAAAAAATTAATATTTCATACCTTCACTTTCTTCAGAGTAAAAAACAACATGCAAAGGGAAACGGAAAATTATCCAGCATACACGTGAATGTCTCTATCTATACTTTTCGATTTCCCATTGTAGCAACCAAACGAAATACCGAGAAAAAAAAATATGTCGATAAGTAAGAAGGCTTTTCAATGAAAGATGCCGAGTCTGAGAGAAGAAAGACGCTTTTTTCCCCCAATCTGCCGTACTCATCATAGTCGTTCCTCAATATCGGCATGCTCGCCGCCAATATAACAATGCTTGCGTTGAGATCAATTTTCCATGGCATATCTACGCGTCCATTCTTTGGCATTACGAATCGCCTCGCTTTCGTTAATTTTCCAAAGCTCCGCAACGTCATTTGCTAAAGGATCATCTGGATTTGGAGCACTTAGTAGTGCCTGTATCGACAATAAAACGGTTCTTATCTGCAATGCTGGACTCCATTTATCTTTTAGAATATCTAAACAAATTCTACCCAGTCTAAAGAACCAATGATATTTTAGTTTGCCTTTCTTCTCTAACACTTACTATGATTAATTGTTACAAAGTTTCACATTACCTGTCAATATTTGGATGATAAATTTTTGTAATAAATCTAACTTTTGGTGCGGACATTGGATAATCCTCGGGTAAAAACAGTTCAAGTTTGAAGAGACCTCCTTCAAAAGGGGAATCTTCAGGACCTGTTACAATCACGTGAAAGTACCTGGCATTGGTATCATCGGGCACAGCACTGATTCCTGGAACTGGTTCTTGCATGAGCCTTTGTGTTTCTTTAATAATCCTACGTGGTAATGCAGCCATATCTTTGTTTTTTATTCCCTGTAATCCAATACAAAAAATATGAAAGTTAATATCTGGCAGAAAAAGTTACACAAACAAGATTATAATCAACAATTGATTTGAACTTTTATTTAGCACTATGATCTTACTTGTGAGGTACTAAAAATAACATAGATAAATTAGTTTTGGATGTATAAAAATTACAAATACAAAAAAGAACCTGACAAATGAACGAGTGGTGAATTAAGGTTATGTGAGTCAGCTAAAGAAGTACTGTGCCACAATAAGACTTTTAATTGAGTAAATAAGCCAGAACAGATAATAAAAAAAAGCCGTACACAACAGTGAAAAGTTAAATTTGTCAACAACAGCTCGATAATGGAGAGAGATATCGTCTTCTCCAAAATTATTAAATCGTAGCAACGATTTGCAATGGTAATGGTAACAAGAAAGAAAGACGTGCTTTTTTTTAAATACAATAATTGGATTAATGGTGAGGCTAATAACTGAAGGAACGAGCTTAAAGAAGAAAGAAAAAAAAGTTATAATAATAAAATTGAATGGTAATATATACGTGAAGAATTACAATGTGTCAGGCTAGCAGCAGTAGGTAGCAGAAGCAATGACGAATTTTAGAGAGACGCGAAGAGTTAGAGGAAAGCAGAAGATTGAGGTAGGTAGATATAATTTACTAGAAACTATATTAAGAAAAAGAAAGGTAAGCAAAAAATAAAATATTAATGGACCAAGAAGATCAAAGATGGTACAGTGTATAAAATTTCAGGTACTGTATGGACCCAAACCGGGTCAAATAAAATTGGTAATTAAAATTTGGAGGCCACCATGGGTAGCTATAAAAAAAGTTGAAAAGTGAGGGTGTCGAATAGGAGGTAAACTGAAAAACAAGTTTAAACGTATGACAATTAACATATTGGTATATGCCTATACTGTACCTGATACAAATAGGATGGAAGAAATTGTAGGCTGATGTGTGCGACGAGCCTGGCTACTGCAAATTACTTACTTAACTTTTTTCCCTTCTCTGTAATAAATCTATTTTTGCAACAATGCAAAGGATGTACCTATAATACTCTCTCAAAAGGACGTCGTACTGTCGGTGTCTCTCCCAGAGAGTGGTTTTCTGATATTCTAGTCTATGGTTTTCTCTCTTTCTCGTTTCGTTACCCTACTCACACACACACACACAATACCACAATTACACACACAGCAGCAGCGGCAGAGCAGGCTCTTTTATTATTTTTTTTTTAAGTGTATTTAGGCTTCTCTGTCAGTTGGAGTCGTCGAAGAACTCCAACTCCTTATCTGCCCCGCCTCCTCTTTTCTTTTTCCCTTTTTTTTTTTTTATGAATGCTGTCCTTTTCTATGCTAATCCGTGTAGGTACTATGCATTTGTAATATTCGTAAAAGCAGCGTCAACAATGATAAAAAATAAAAGTTGAGCCGCCCAAACTGAAACTACAGAGGCAGTAGTTTTCCTCCCAAAGCTTCTACAGTTAAGGTAGGTACCGTCTGTGACTCGGTGGGACCGTTTACGCAAATTCGAACTTTCTGTACGTCCGACCGACCGTTAGTTAATTTAAAAAAATTTTTAATTCTATATAATTAATGTTGACTTTTCGTAAATAACGAATATTATCAACCACATCGGATGATAATTTACTGAAATTCCATTAAAAAACTAATAATGTAGCAAAGAAAATACAAAATAATAATAATA